AAGTATCCACTACGAGCCCAGAGTCTCCAAGTGTGATTGGCTTCTGCTGCTTTTTTAAGAGGGTCATGATTTTAGTCTTCTCTAGGTTGATCCGCAGTCCAGTCTTGGATGCTTCATGGGCTAGGCTATCGGTTTTCTGTTGCATATGTTGGCATTTCTGGGACATCAGGCACAAGTCATCCGCAAAGTCCAGGTCTTCAAGGAATTGAGTCAGGGACCACTGGATTCCGGTTTTTCCTGTTTTAATTGTCTGATGCATCACCCAGTCGACCACTAACAGGAAGATCATTGGGGAGAGCATGCATCCTTGTCGGACTCCTGTTCTCACCTCAAACTCCTCTGTCAATTTGTCGTTATGGATAATTTGGCGTGTGGCGCCTTCATAAAGTTGCTGGATCAGGGTGATGAAACTTTGAAACTCACACGCTACAGAAACCAAAGAACTGGCTAGAGAGAGTGAAATACTTTAGATCCTGTCAGAGACACTTACTGCTTGAACAGAGTTACATTCACGACGTGTCTCTAGATACCTAAGTGCTCTCTTCTCCTCTTCTCTTAGCTTTGCGTCTGCCTGCAGGAAACACACAGTAGCACAAAACACACACACTAAGAATCAAGGTTATCCAAACCAACAATCAAAACTCTCACTCTGCAAGGTTACAACTTTTTCCCGTCAAAGCATATGTCAAAACATTGCTATATGTGGGAGGAACTCATAGTGTATCTGTACTTAATATTCAAACCAGATGTCCTCAGACCAGATCTGGGCCACCTGCGTATGTGCCCCTAGACCCGATTCCTCTCCGACCTCTGACTGTGCTTCCGCTGTCAGAACGGTCAGATCAGAATCCATGTGGTCGTTTTAACATCTCCTCTGCACATACGGCCTGTCGTCATCATTTGGCGTCAGCCCCTCAGACTGGTAATAATAAACATGGAGGAGAGCGACGACAGCGATGAGGTCAGGGGAGAGAGCAGGACGTTTCACATGTGGTGGACGTTTATGGAGAAGCTTCTGATGAGGCCAAACTGGGAGGAACATATTATAACCCAGCGGTTTGGGAGGAAGCTGGGCCATTTGACCGTCGCACACACCACCTGGTTGTTATTCTTGTGCGCACATGGCTCACATTTTAGTTACATCTGTGCATGTGTGGCAGTTTAGGAGCTCAGCGGTGTTCACACCGGAGCCGGGTACACGGCACCAACACACACGGACGGGAAGCAGCAACACAACGAGGTCAGAGCTGAGCTTTAGCCTAAGATGTAGACACAGCCTTAAAGATGCCACCCTAAGATCAGTAAAATATTTTGTTTCACGGACTAAATAATTAACCAAAAAAAAAAAGAATTGAAAATAAAAATAACTAGGTGCAACCTTAATGTCACTTTGTAGGCACTTTAATTTTTCTTTAATGGCATCCCACATCTGAACGTAACCATATGCTTCATGCTAACCCCTGTACTTGTAATAATTATTGTAGCATACATATTTCATGTAGTTCTGGACGCCATTCTGTTGCAGGTAGGACGGTGCCTGTGTTCTGTAAAACCTCTCTGTAGAGTCCAGGTAGGCTTTCTCAAAGTTATCCCTGTAGATCTGCAGCTTGTCCTCCGAGTTAGAACACAGGTTTACTAGTGAGACAGAAGGACAGAGAGGGGGACAAAAAGTGGCTGTTACCGTAGTGTTTCTTCTTTAGAAATGTTCATAAAGTATTCAGTTTGTATTAATATCCTCTCCAGATATGTAAAGTAGAGCTGCAGAGATAAAGGTTTGTTTAACTGTACAGATTTGAAATAACTATTGTGTCTCTATTTATTGCTACATGTTTGTGCACTCACTGCCAATAATGTGCTCCTCTCTGCGACTGAATGCTCTCCCATGAGTTTATTTCTGTCTGTCTTACCATACGACTCTCGTACTCCTATAACGAGCTGGGAGTCGAAGGCCTCCCCCAGCCTCTCAGCGTGCACCAGCTTCATGGCGCTGTCCTGCAGGCGACTCTTAATGTTGGAAAAGATCGACTCGTTCCACGTGTCCAGCATCAGCTGGAAAGCATAAGGTAGGTAGAGTGATAAATGAGTATCAAGTGCAGCAAAAATATGAGTTATCCTACATTCCATCCATTCCAAGAATAGTTAAGGTAGAACATCATTCTCCCAGGGATCAAACCAAGATCACCATTCATACTTTAAGCTGTTCTCTCATAAGAGGATTTGTGGGGTGTCTGACTCTTTGCTACTCACTACCGCCTACATGTAACACTGATTATTTTGGAATCTAAAGTTTTCTTCTGTCTCACATCCGCTCCATCTCACAAATCTCTTCTTCCTTTTATGACTCCTCGCCTTTATCTTCTCCGGTCTTCTTGACCTGCTTTAGCTGCTTATGATTTTAAATCATTCTTTTCTTTTCATCTATTCCCCTCCTGTTCCTCTCACCTATGGAGCAAAATGTTGTTGTCCACAATGACTCCTTCTGCTCCTGCAATTCTCTTCCTTCCATCTTACTGCTTCCTTTTATGCCATTTTGTCCAATCTCTTAATGCAGTCCAAACCTTGGCCTTTCAACCTGCTCTCACCTTGCGTACGATGCTGTCCTCCATGTTTGTTTTCTTGTTGCTGCCTTGTTTGCCCATCAGAGTGATCTCCAGCTGACAGAAGGGTTTGGGCAGGATGTCGCATTGGGTGAAGAACTTCCTCCACTCTGCAATGTAGGCTTTTAGCAGCGCCGTGTCATCCTGGTGGCTCAGCACCCGCTGCCATGGCAACAGATACAAGGAAAAGTTAATTATTATAATTAAAATTTTATAAAAGACATAATCTAGACCATGACATTCAGTTTGTCCAAGACTGTGGATGTTCAAGGCACCGATTCTGAAGTTTGTGGAATGAAACAGAGACAATGACAAATGAGAGGACAGCCCAGCACAGAGAATCACAGTGAGGTACTGGGCCACCACGTGACACCAGAACAGCTCCACCTTGACTCTCCAGGTCTCTGAACCCTCCTGGACGGATGAACACCGTTCTTCCAACAGATGTTCCCTCAAGTGGTGTTTTGATGATGGTGGTGGAGACGCTGTCTAACACGTCGCTCCAACATCTCCCATAGCTGTTCAACTGGGCTGAGACCTGGTGACTGGGAAGGCCACAGCATCTGGTTCACATCATGGTCATCCTCATCAGACCAGTCAGTGACCCCTGGTCACTGTCATCCTGGAGGGGACCACTCAGTTATGCAGGTTTTTCCTTTCATTTGTCACAGTCTGTCTGACCAATAAAAACATTCATCCATCCTCCATGTGCCCATCAGCAACAAACAGTTCCTCCCAGAAACAGAGCTTTGTTGCAGCAAAATGTAGCCAATGAAAGTCAGTTTCATTTGTAGAGCACCCCACCAATACAAAGGCACAGAAAACACAAACAACATTAAAAACAATAAGCATTAAATCAATCTATTAACACCAAGCCAAACATCATCACCTCATTTAACCAGCACAAACACACTGACACACATGCTACTTACAGCCTGTGCTTGTTTGATGAAGTCTAGGATGTCCTCTTTGAGAGCCTGGTGGATTTTGGCTGGTCCTTTATCATCCCACAGACACACAGCATGGACATCTCTGGAGGACAGGAGGTAAGAAATTGAGCCTCCATCTCACAAGGATTTATGATCACTGATAGAGTCCTGTGAGCACCAACAGGATGAACTGTGCCCTTGTGTGACTTAATTTTTAGAGCAACATACCAACTGGTATCCCAGCTGCTGCCTGGGATATATGACTAATTTGAACCTGTTTTAATGATCGGTGGCTTTGTCGCAACATGTGTTGCTGCTCCAAACATTGCACCTCCATCTCTAGGGCACTCTTTAGGCTTTTACTCGACGTCACCAATGTCCACATAGTATGTACCTGTAGATGTTTTTTTTTAATGCAACACACCCTTCCATAGCTCTTGAAGGGGGTTATAGAGTAAATGGTATTTAAATGTGTTCCTGTTCCCTTCTCCTCTTTCACCAGCAAGCACCAGCTTCCTCTTCTTAACCACTTTTACTCTCCACCTTATCCGCTTGTTATTTAAGGTTAGTGAGATGAATCAAGTCTATTATATTTATAGCCAGTATCATGAAGAATATCACAGAATGCAGGTTGTTGTCAATGTTGTAGAGCAACAACAATGGCACAGTATAATACTCCTCACCCCTTGTGGCAGGGGAGCTGGAGCCAATCCCAAGTGACACTGAGCAAGAGGAAGGGTCACACAGGAACTGAGGAGTTTATCAACACAATATATAGATGCAGTTTATATCCAAAAATTACAAAACCAAGTAGAGTAACAATTCAGCATGCAACATTAATAGATAATATTTTCACCAATGTTAT